TATCCCTATAGTTGGGCAGTTTGTTCTGCCAGTCCTCAGATTGATTTCTTGGGTGTTCAGAATGATTTGATATTTATCTAGCTTTGTTCAAGGGACAAGACAATCTTGGGTCCCCCTACTACTCTACCATCTTAACTCTGCAATATTTTTTTAATGTTGATAAATTTAAAAACACTATTTACCAAAAATTATACAGATAAAGTTGAAAAATATATAATCATATCACCATCAAAATGGAATATGCAATAAAACTTTCCAAAAAAATGAATCACTAGCCTGAGAAAGCTACAAGAGTGAATTCTTACAGACATTTAGAGAAGAAATTAAAATATCTATACATAAAATCTTCCAGAATATAAGAAAAGGGTAAAAACATCTTAATTCATGTTATGAAACCAGCACTACCTTAACAACAGCTTAACAAGAAAAGATCACATTTTTGGTATCCTTATAAAAAATACAATCTCGATATAATCATGAGGAAGTATGGGACAAACTCATATTGAGGTACATTCAGCAAGGTAACTGGAAAGTATTCTCCAATACAAGAATGGTATCAGGAAAGACAAGAAAGGTTCCAAGGTATAGGAAACACAAAGAAATACCATAATACTATAACATATTAGAAGAGAATAAGGACATGACACCTCAATGGAGTGTAGGATCCTGGACTGGAGGTTGCACAAGAAAAACAACATTTGTGGGGAAACTGTCAAAACTCAAACAAAATCTATAGACTAGTAAATAGTTTTGTGGGAATGTCAATTTTCATATTTGATGACTTCATTATAAAACTTAGGAGTGAAAAGAGATCACTGATAGCAATGGTGAACAATAGAAATGGTGATATCACTACAAAGTTACCAACCTTTTAAAGATAAAAAGAAGGTATTTTCAATAAATGTATTTCAATAATTTGAAAACTTAAATAATATGAAAAAAATTCCTTGAAAACCTAACTTACAGAAAGTGAAACAAAAATAAAGAAATCTGAACTACTTTACATATGCCAAAGCAATTAAATCAGTACTTAAAAATATTCCCTTTAAGGGCACCTGGGTGGCTCAGATGGTTAAGCGTCTGCCTTCGGCTCAGGTCATGATCCCAGGGTCCTGGGATCGAGTCTCGCATCGGGCTCCCTGCTCCTTGGGAGCCTGCTTCTCCCTCTGCCTCTCTCTCTCTGTCTCTGTCTCTCATGAAGAAATAAATAAAATCTTAAAAAAAAAATATTCCCTTTAAGAAAACTTAAGATCTACATGGCTTCAAATGTGAATGCTTTCAAATACATATGGAAGAGATCAAACCCATAATGTATAAAGTATTGAACAAAACATAGTACTCATTTTATGAGGCTTGTGTAAACTTAATACAATGAAATGAAACATTATAAGGAAAGACATTGCATATCATTATTTCCTAAACATAAACCCTAAAATCCTAAACAGAATATTAAGTAAAAAAAAAAAATCCATGATTTGTAAAAATGAGTAAAATATAATGATTAAGTAGTATATAAAATAGCTACTTTATAATGTAGGGGGGGAAGTTAGGAATATACACAATACATTCATATGCATTAGAGAGCCAAGCTAAGACAATAAAGCAAGAAAAGGAAGTACAAGTAAAGAAGCAAAAAATACAAAAACTAGAAAAGGAATTCTAAGATTAGAAAAGAGAAATTAAAAGTATCATTATTCAGATAAGAAACTAAAAAAAAAAATCCTCAAAAGAGTTAACAATTGAATTAGGCATAATCATAGGATATAAGATGAATACATACATATCAATGGTATTTCCATAAACTAGCAAGAAAAATTGAAATGTTAAAGTAAAAAAAAAAATACTATAGACCATCAAATGCATTAACAATAAAACTAAAAAGGATGTTCCAGACAACAACAGAATACTGGTGAAAGAAATTAACAAAAAATGTAAAATTGTGTGTGTATTAGATTGGAAGACTCAATACTGTTAAGATGACAATTCTCCCCAAAGTGATATAAGCATTCAATGAAATCCCCAAATCAAAGTCACAGTTGTATTGTGTTTGTGTGTGTGTGTGTGTGTAAATTTAGAGTAATTCTAAAATATGTTCAAAGGAAAAAGACCCAGAATAGTCAAAGCAATAGTGAAGAATAAGAAGAGGATTTAAACAAATAGATTAAATGGCAATAAAGCTACAGTAATCAGTACAGTGTAGTATTTCTACACTGTATTGTATTCAACAAAATATAAATTAGCTAGTGGGGAGAAAAGAAAACAGAGATTTGAGAAATAGGCTGTACATATTCCATTACTTGACTTTTTAAAAATTGCCAGCACAATTGAATGAGATAAGACAGGTCTTTCTAGATAGTGTTGGAGCAAATGAATATGGAAAAAATAAACTTTAACCCCTACCTCACGCCACACATTTTTATCAACTAGAGATGATCATAAAAGTGTATGTGAAAAGGTAAATAAAAATAAATTCCAAAACAAAAGTAAAAATATTTATGTCCTTGGAGTAAGAAAATATTTCTTAAAAGGAAAAGATAATGATAAAAATCATATATTGGATTTAAATGCATAATAATTAAGAAATATGTCCATCAAAAGACACCATTAAGGGGTGCCTGGGTGGATCAATTGGTTAAGCAACTGCCTTTGGCTCAGGTCATGATCTGAGGGTCCTGGGATCGAGCCGCACATTGGGCTCCCTGCTCAGTGGGAGCCTGCTTCTCCCTCTCCTGCTCCCCCTGCTTGTGCTCTCTCTCTCTCTGTCTGTCAAATACATAAATAAAGTCTTAAAAAAAATACACCATTCAGAGAGTGAAAAAACAAGCCTCAAACTGGAAAGATATCCCCAATATACCATCTGACAAAAGATTAATATTCAAAATAAATAAAATCCCACAAAACATTAATAAAAATATTAAAATGAGAAGGGGCGCCTGAGTGGCTCAGTTGCTTAAGTGTCCAGCTCTTGGTTTCAGCTCAGGTCATGATCTCATGGGTTGTGGGATAAAGCCCCGTATTGGGCTCCACACTCAGCAGGGAGTCTATTTCAAGAGTCTCTCTCTCTCTCTGCTTCTCCCCTGCTCATATAGTCTCTCTATCTCTCTTTCTGTCTCAAATAAAATAAATAAATAAATAAAATGGAAAGCACATATTTTCTCTTAAAGAGAATATCATCAAATGTTTTCAAACTCATTAGTCATCAGGTTAATGCTAATAGAAACCACAATATGATCTCATTATACATATACCAGAGTAGCTAAAATTTAAAAAGACTATTAATACCAATTGTTTGTGGGGATATGGATCGTTCATAAATTGTTGATGGGAGAACAAATTGTTATAATCTTTTTTGAAAACTGTCAATATCTCCTAAAGTATCATATACTAACCCTATGACATAAGGATTTCAATCCTAGGTAGATATTCAAAAGAAATTATGTCTACCAAATGGATATTTTTCTAAAGAAGACATACAAATGATCGTACATGAAAAGGTGCTCGACATCGTTATTCATCAAGGTAATGCAAATCAAAACCAAAATGAGATATCACCATACACCTGTTGGAATGTCTATTATCCAAAAAACAAGAGATTTCAACTGTTGGCAAAAATGTGAAGAATAGGAAATCCTGGGGCACCTGGGTGACTCAGTTGGTTAAGTGTCTGCCTTCAGCTCAGGTCATGATCTCCGCATCCTGGGATAGAGCCCTACATCGGGCTCCCTACTCAGTGGGGAGCCTGCTTCTCCCTCTCCCTCTGCCACTCCCCCTGCTTGTGCTTGCTCTCTCTCTGTCAAATAAATATGTTTATTTACATAGCTTTAAAAAAAAGAATATGAAGAATAGGAAATCCTTCTACACTGTTGGTGAGAATGTAAATTGGTACAGCCATTATGGAAAACAGTATGATGGTTCCTTCAACAGTTAAAAATAAAACTACCATGTGATCCAGCAATTCCATTTCAGGGTATATATACTAAGGAAACAAAATAAGTATCTCAGAGATATCTGCACTCCCATGTTCAATGCAGCATTATTCATAACAGATTAGATATGGAAACTACCTAAATGTCCATCAACAGATGAATGGATAAAAAAGGTGATACACACACACATACACACACACACACAATGGAATATTAGTCATAAAAAGGAAGGAAATCTATTTGCAAAACATGATGAACCTGGAGCACATTACACTAAGTGAAATAAGCTAGACAGAGAAAGACAAAAACTGTATGGCATCAATTATATGTAAAATTAAAAAAAAGAAAGAAAGAAAAGAGAAAATAGAATGGTGGTTGCCAGTGGCTGGAGGGAGGGGAAATGGAGAGATGTAAGTCAAAGGGTATACACTTTCAGTCATAAGAAAGAATAAATTCTGAAGATCTAACATACAGCATGGTGACAATATGATATTGTATACTTGAAAGTTGCTGAGAATAGATCTTAAGTGATCTTACCACACAGGCTTGTGCATATACACACACAGACACATAAAGAAAAAAAATAACTATGTTAGGTAATAGATGTGTTAATTATCTTAGTCTTGGCAATCAATCCACAATGTATATCAAATCATCACATTTTACCCTTAAAATATATACAATTATGTTTGTTAATTATTTCTCAGTAAAGTTAGAAAACATTAAGTAAATTGGTAAGAAGGTAAGCATCTGGTAAGCTTAAAAGAGTAATGTGACCAGAGAGATTAGAGCAGATTAAGGGAAGGTCAAAGCTGCTAGAAAGTGAGGTCAAGGAGAGACTGGGCTAAGCTGAGGATGGGGGCAGGGTAGATAGTGTAAGACGTTCTAGGCCAGTTTGGGCTTTTAGTCATAACAGTAACAACTAAAATAAAATATCTTTACTTGGAAATAGTTTAAAAATTACATTATGTTTTTGAAGTTAAGAAAAAAATTATTTCATTGAGTTCAAAGAAAGAAAGAGAAGAGAGAAAGAAGGAATGAGAGAGGGAAGGAGGGAAGGAAAAGTTTACTTACCAAAGCTTTTTCTACTATAATGTGAATTTCTAGGTATTGGGGTAATAGTTTTGAAAGATTTGTTTCCTGAAGGGAAAAAAGAAAAGGATTTATCAAATGTTAACAGGTATTGAATTTGTTAAGTGCAAAGAGTAACATGTATAGAAGGGGAACACATACAAAAACTTCATGAGGAATTAAATATAAAAATTAATTACAAATCAGAAAATTTCATTTGAAAATATATTCCAGGTTTAAGAGTCCCAGTGAGCTTGCTGGAGTAATATAAGAGCTTAGGTACTCTCTATTAATACTGAATGAGAAAGAAAATGAATATAAAGATAAACATTCTGTTGTCTTCATCTCATTGCAAACCTACATTACCAGTTCACATTTGAAAATTCTTCACACACTGCCCTCCTAAAGACTATGTAACACCAACCATGAGGCACTGGAAGTTTTTAATTCATTCACAGAAAAACATAAGAAATATTTGAGAATTCATAGTCTACACAGAAATTTGGGTAAATAGTATACTTTGTACTATTAGCCATATGGGTACACAAGAAAGAACAAAATGAGTGATATCAGAAGTAATTCTGTAGTCTCAGTATAGACTGTATCCCATTTAGTATGATGTAATAATTCTTGATAGTGTCAAGCCAGTCAGCTATATATCATCAATTTATTTTATCATTACTTAACACTTTAATGGTAATTTTTTATGAGCTATATTTCTAAGACACTGAAATTCCATTTTACATACAGAAATTTCAAAAAATTTCTATATTTCTTCCCTGATCCAAGTTTCTTGGACTTTCCATATACCTTTTAGACCAAGTTTATATGTAGCTATAAAAATTCTTGCTAGGATTTTGGAGGAATTATGTTAAACCTATACATTCACTTGGGGAAAAATGGAATATTTATTATGCTGAGTCTTCCATTCCATGGTATGTATCTTCATTTATTAATGTCTTCTTTGATTTATTTACATTTGATTTTTTACATCAACATTGTGTACTTTTCAATATATAAAACCTGTACATGTTTTGCTATATATCTACTTGCAATGTATGTGTTCCCCCCAAATTCATATGTTAAAACACTCCCATTTGGAGGTGGGACGTTTGGAAGTTAATTAGGTCATGAGGCTAGAACCCTCAAGAATGGGATTAGTGCCCTTATAAGAAGGGACCAAGAGCTAGCTAGTTGTCTCTCCACCATATGAGGATACAGCAAGAAGACAGGCCTCTATGTACCAGGAAGAGGACATTCACCAAAAATCTGAACATGCTCCTAATTCTGGACTTCCAGTCTCCAGAACTGTGAGAAATAAATGTTTGTTGTTTAAGCCACTAGTCTACAGTAATTTGTTATAGCAGCCTAAAATGACTAAGATATCATTTTATTCTTTCAGTGATTGAAAATGTTATACATTTTTCCTATAGTTTCCACATATCCATTGGTAATATGTAGAAATGGTTGATTTTTGTATCTTGATCAAGTATTCTGTGACTTCGTTGATTTCACTTAGTTCCAGCAGTTATTTTCTATATTTCCATGCCTATAGTCTTGGCAGCACCAGTGGAAGCAGGGATGATGTTCTGGGCCGCCCCTCGGCCATCAGGCCACAGCTTCCTAGAGGGGCTGTCCACGGTCTTCTGGTTGGCAGTGATGCATGGACGGTGGTCATGGGTCCCTCCACAATGTCAAAGTTGTCACAGATGACCTTGGTCAGAGAAGCCAAGTGGTTGGTGGTGCAGGAGGCATTGCTGAAAATCTTGAGGGAGTTGTCACTTCTTATGGTTCACACTCATCATGAAAATGGGGGCATCAGAAGAAGAAGCAGGTATGATGAAATTCTTGGCCCCATCCTTCAAGTGAGCCCCAGCCTTCTCATGGTTGTGAAGACCCCAGTGGACTCCACAACATACTCAGCACCAGCATCAACCCATTTGACATTGGCGGGATCTCCCTCCTGGAAGATGGAGATGGACTTTCCATTGATGACAAGTTTCCCGTTCTCGGCCTTGACTCTGTTGTGGAATTTGCCGTGGAATCATACTGGAACATGTAGACCATGTAGTTGAGGTCAATGAAGGGGTCATTGATGGCCACAATATCCACTTTGCCAGAGTTGAAAGCAGCCCTGGTGACCAGGAGCCTAGTACTGCCAAATCCATTTACTCTGACCTTCACCATTGTGTCTCGGGGACGCGGCTGGCACTGAACCAGAAGATGCAGTTGTCTGTCAAATGGGGTGGACCAGAGACTGCTATCTGCTTTTATAGGATTATTTTTTATCACTAGAACAAGTTTCCGACATCACTGAGATTTATATAATAAATGAATTTTGAATTGAGTTTTGTCCTATTTTTCTGCATTGAGAAGATTGTGCACCTTTTCTTCTTTAATCTAGTTAAATAATAGATAATTTCGGTATATTTTCAAATACTGAACCAGACTTCCATCACTGGATAAACAATGCTTAATTATGGTGTGCAATCCTTTTAATAAATTACTCAATTACTTTTGATAGTATTTTATTCAGAATTTTTACATCTATATTCATATGGTCTATGGGTTTGTTTGTTTTGTACTGTCATACAGTTTTAGTATCAGGGCAATATTGTCCTCACAAAGTTAGTTGTAAAGTGTTTACTCCTCTTAATTTTTGCTGGAGAAATTATATAGAATTGGCATTATATCTTCTTTTAACATGTATTATAAATTTTACATAAAACCATCTACACCAGAGAGATTTTGTGTTTGAGAGATTTTTCACTGAAAATTCAATGCTTTTTATTGGTTACAGGACTGTTTAGGTTGTCTATTCCATCTTGGTTGAGTTTTGATAGTGCATTGTTTTTAAGATATTGGCCCCATTTTATTTACATTGCCAAATATATGTAGTTAGAATTGTTTGCAGTATTGGTCATCTGGATTTAGATCAGGGATCAGAAACGAGTGTTGTGCAACAAAGTGAAACCTGAACAAAGTACATATTAATGATTTTTACTTAACCCATCAAAAAACTGAGACTGCTGATTAAACCACTAACCAAAATCTGGAGAGAGAAATGTGCCTGCAGGGTGGGCAAGAAACAAGGTATTTGCTTAGCTTGTTCTGATGACACCAAAAACCATGTAAGCTGATAAAAAATCCAGCTAGAAAATTTTGGCTGAATTTCTAAAGGCCAAGCTTGGCTAGCATAAAAGTATGACATCTCTGGGAATCATAAAGATAGTTGATTTCACAGATTCTTACAGGTTTTTTCTTCAGGAATTCCCTAAGTTACTCATAAGGAAGATTAGAGCATATATTGAAAAAGATATAGTGCTGGCTGGTGCAGAGGAACATCAGCCACTGCAGAAACCACCCAAACTCATCTCCTCTATCTCCTTTATGACACAAAAGCCTTAATCTACTGGAGAAAGCAGAAAGAGGTTTATATCCTGAGAGAAATGGTAAAAACTATAGCTGGGAGAGGAAAATGAATAAAAAGGTCTAATTCTGGAGGGTAAGTAAGGAATACTTGATAGACCCAGTATTACATCTGGAGGAGAGAGTTGGTGACATTTGTGAAGACTACATCCCCAAATCCAGGTTCATAGTGCCTTCCTAACATTGAGTTTTAATCCAAACATCAGAGAATTCCTCTGTTCTCTGCTCTATGCCAAATCCATGACATGTGTTAAAATGTGTCAAAAAAAAATACAGGAAAGACAGCAGGAAGATCTGGAAGAGATGGATTTTTATCTAAACACACAAAACAGTCAAGTGGAAAAATACAAAGCTAAACAGAACAGACATTCCTCTAGCAAATTATCATTCACCTTAAACAAAAGATAATCACTTAAAAAGAATGTGAAGCTTCTGGTAAGTACACTAAGGATAGCAATAGCAAAAACACACATAAACAGATCTATATTCTGACTATATTAACAGAAAATTTCAAGCTAAAGACCCCGTAGAAAGGTATGTTCATCTCCAAACCTAAAATTAATATTTAATTCAATATCTATTGCCTACTGCATTATGTAACAAGTTTAGCTTTCACAAAAGAGAGAGAGAAGAGATACAGACCGTCAAAAAGAAAATGCAATATAAAAGCTATAGCAATCATGAAAATCAGACTTACAAATGACACAGATGTTGGAACTATCAGAAGGAAGATTTAAAGCAATTCCAGTTAATATGTTAAAGGCACTAGTAGAAAATATTAAACAACATGCAACATGAAATGTGTTATTTCAACACCAAATACTTCTACAACAACCACCCGATATGGAAAGTAGTTGGTTGTCCCTATCCATATGTGTCTATGCACACTTTATTTTATCATTGAGTACATTTCCACTGTGTTCTTGATAAGCCAGTGTTTGTAACTTTGCAATTAGAAATGATCTGGAAAAGAGAAAGAGGTTGCCTGCTTGCCTTTCAGAGAAAACAACAACAACACAGTATTATAATTTTCTCACTTTTAAACAAAACCAATTATTGTCTAGTGAAAGTTCAGCAAATATATCTTCTATTACTTTAAATAAGAATTAATAATGATATCTCATGTAAAAATGAAAAATACAGAACAAAGCTCAAAAATGCCCCAAAGGAGGACAGCAGACATAAAATACAAAATTCCTACAAGAAAAAAATGTGGACAACAGAAATTTTGAAGAATACAAATTGTCCTAATGAACATCTGTAAAACACTACACAAAACAACTGCAGGATATATAGAGAAACACATATACTAAAGTCAAATGCACTATCTGAACATGATGAAAATCAGTTAAAAATAAGTACCAAGAAAGATATCTAGAAAATGTCCAATTATGCACACTTCTAAATTTCCCATGGGTCAATGGAGGAATAACAAGGTAAATTTAAAAATGGTACATTAAAAGATTACAAATACATGGTAGAGAAAACTGAAGAAATAAAAATACATCAATTAAAATCAGGTTGAGAACCACTAAAAATTCTCCCTACATAAAACCAACAAAAGAACTGGAAAAAGTTGTTAGAATCAACTTTTTTTCAGATCTTTAGAAATTAACAAATGTCTTGCAGGCTTCAAGGGAGTGTTTATTCAAGAAAAATAACTGATCTGGGTAAAAATAATGGTATTTGTGGAATTTGGATTCACTCTAGTATTTTCTCCCATTAGTTGAAAACTAATAGCTCAAATCTGCAGTGAATACCAGTACACTGGCAACCTCCAGAAAAAGCAGAATATGGCTGGAACATCTTCAAAATCTCATTTCCAAAGAAATGTCATGACCTAACCTACTTTGTTCCTAGAAGACCTATTTTGTTTGTCAATATTGACCTAAATTTTACACAGTGTGAAAAGCCCTTTTTCCAAAGGCATTTGTTTTAAACAATTATAGGCAATTTTTTGAAACTTTACAGTTGTCTGGAGCAGTGAATGACCATGGGGCAAACAGTAGACCAATAAAAAGACTTAGAAGAAACCTGGATAATAAGATATTCAAACAGAGCTTTGAAAAGCTATGATAAATTTCTGGGAATGTAGCAGACCACACACATGTATCAGGCTAAGTGCATTCTCAAGTCTGTACACATACTTAAGGAAAGACCTGAAAAGACCCTAAACTCTTACCTCTGATTGATCTCGAGGCTCTGTGCAAGCAGAAAGTGAAAGGAAAGGTGCAGTTGTTAACTGCCTGACTGAGTGACAAAGTCATGCTCCAACAGGTACAGAGAGACTCTCAGTAAGAACTGGGAAACTTATTGTTTCCAAGCAATTAAAGAACTCTGATCATTAACACACTGAAAAGATAACAGAATAGAGACTTCAGTGGTTACATACAACACAGAATACACATTTTAGAGAACCAGTTAAAATTTACAAGACAAATTAACTACTGCAATGAATAGCAATGATATTTGATGGAGGGGGATCTGATTTCCAGAGTTATCACACTGTATTATTTGGAGTGACTAGTTTCAGTTTTCAAAAAATTATGAGACATGAAAAAGACCTAAAGTATGACCCATATACAGGAAAAAGATCATCAATAGAAACTGTCTTTGAGGATGATCTGACATTGGACTTACTAGAAAAATACTTTAGGTATTTTGAGTCATTTCAAAGAGCTAAAAGAAGTTATGTATAAATAACTGAAGGAGGATATTATAATAATGCCTCACTAAATATGGAATATCAATAAAGGCAAAAAATTATTTAAAAAGAAGTAAATAGAATTTCTTGTATTGAAAAATACAATTGAAATAAAATACACATTAGAGTGGCTCCACATCAGATATGGGCAGACAGAAGAAAGAATCAAGGAACCTGAAGATAGATCTATTGAGATTATACAATCTAAAGAAGAGAAAGAAACAAGAATGGAGCAAAATAAACAAAACCTAATAGACCTATGGGGCATTATCAAGCATACACATAATGGGAGTATCAGAAAGTGAGGAGATAGATAAAAGGCCAAAGAATATTCAAAGAACTAGTGGCCCATAATTTCACAAATTAGGTGAAAAACATTAATGTACAAAAAAAGAAGCTCAGTCAACTCCAATTTAGATAAACTCAAAAAGAACCACTCAAAGACACATTATAAAAAAAGTGCTGTAAGCCAAAAATAAAGAGAGAAACTTGGAAGAAGCAACAGAGAAGGGACTCATCATGTACAAGGAATCCTCCATAAGATTAATGACAGTTAATTTTTCATCAGCAATCATGGAGGCCATGACAGTGAATTAAAATATTCCAAACGATGAAAGAAAAACATCTGTCAAACAAGAACTCTATATACAGCCAACAGGTAAATTAAGAGTTTAATAATATACAAATGATTATCAATTTTAGAAAGATATGTTCTAGTAGTACATAAAGCTATATATAAAAATATTAAAAATAATTTTAACAAGCTAGTGGTAATTTAACTTATTTTATTGTCTTTATATAGTGACTTCATTCTTCCTATATTTCTAAATTTTACTCAATAATCTGCATTTTTGCTAAAGTAAGAAATGTAACATAATACATTATAAAAAGCCTGAAATACATTATTGGGTAATTTTTCATATATTTTAGATGGAATATGGATGTTTTATTTAAAAGTGCAGAAAGAAGATATCAAATTAGATATTTCTACTCCACAGTTAAGTAGTTCCTTTCCACGATCAACAAAATTCTACATAAGTAATTTCATAGTATGTCATAACATCAGAATTATCATGTTACCTGTGAGCTTAAATTATCTTTGTAGGATTGGTCTTTCTGCCAAATATTTCTGTAATTTTCTGCCAACAGTGGTATATTTGGATTCTCATTTTTCACTTGATAAATTATGTGCTCAAATCGTGCTGAAGATTCCAATGGCTCAATTCCATAGCTGATGTTTTCAAACTGAAGGAATCCCCTGAATATTTAGAAAGCAATGATATAAAAACCCTACAAGTGATCCCATCAAAGCTATACTCTAAAATGTGAAAAAAACTTAAAAAATTTAAAGAATTAAATTTATATACTTTAAACTAGGTATTTAAATAATTTCAAAGAGCTAAAAGAAACCATATATAAACAACTAAAGGGAAATATTTTAATGATGTCTCAATAAATAAAGAATGTCAACAAAGGCATGGAAATTATAGAGAAGAAATCAATAGAAATTCCAGTTTGAAATATAGTAAGGAACACATTATAAACACACTTTATTTTCCCATTTTTTCTGGTTTACCATTAGTAACTGAGATATCACATCTACCTTAGTTTTGCTCATATATTAAAGAACAAAATATATTGCAAAGTATTTTATATTACGTGTATAGTAGTCATATTTATTCAAGATACATTAGTTAAGACCAAGTATTTGTTGAAAATCCATCACTTTTTGAGAATTCCAAGAATAAAGTTCATGTTCTTACAGAGTTTAGAAAAAGGAAAAGCAGGTATATAGAGTGTATATGTAAAGAGGTGGATATCTATGAAAACCACATTAAATGAATGCCAATTTTTTTAATGATTTTTTATTGTTATGTTAATCACCATACATTACATCATTAGTTTTTGATGTAGTGTTCCATGATTCATTGTTTGTGCATAACACCCAGTGCTCCACGCAGAATGTGCCCTCTTTAATACCCATCACCAGGAATGCCAATTTTTTCTGAGTGGACATGAGTAAATTCTAGAAGTCAGGCAACCAAAACCAAAAGGAAGTTAGGGAGAGTCTTTTTTTCCTTTGCTCTGGACCAATATTCCTCTAATAAACTTAATACCTTTCTCTTGCCACCATCACTGATGAAAATCACTTATCCCTGCCCTTTTACCTCTGAGGGACCTTCTTAATTAGTTGTTTTGTTTTTTGTTTTTTTTTTTATCTGATACTGAGTGCACCTAAACTGAAAGCATACAATATGTGCATATTGAAATGATTAATTTATATCATTTTCCATAACTATTTGAGATAATTGAAAGATAATGCAATGATATTATTTAGTTCTAAAGTTTCCTTTACTGAAACTATCCCTTTTTGCACAGTATCTTGAAAAAAACACCTCCAGTCAGGATTCCCTGGAACGATTTCATTTGAATGGACACTAAAGTTCAGCCGCTAATATTGATATTAAAAAGTAAGGCCATCATAAAGGAAACTTTCAGATTTGGATTCCCCTTAAAATTCCCAGATTTATGTCTGCTAGCCACTAAGTTTCATTTTAAAGTTTTCCATGTGTAAGTATCATGTAAGATCCTATTACCTGAGTCCAGAACAGATGCTGAGTGTTGTAAGTGAATTTGGAATATCTGCAATATATCCTTGGTAATGACAATGCATCTGAAAAACAATATAGAAAAGCAGGTAAATAAATTCTTTATGAATAAAAATGTATTTGCTAACATTAGAGAAGATTAAAAATGTTAAAAATAATTGAAAATAATAAGACTGTATATCATATAGATTTGTTAATGCAGATTTTCAAGGAAAAAGGCTTTTTGACAATCCTCTTTATTTTGTACCACCAAGGTGCCAATGAGTATTCTTTCAGCCTGGGTTTTATCTCTATCATGTACCACTTTTATGTACAACAACATAACAGGTCATAATTATACAGAATGAAATATTTGTATTAAATTGTCATAGAACAAATATATCCCAATGGTAGTGATATGGCCACTTCAATAAAAAACTATATGATAACAAATATCTAAGACATCTAGAGCTTACCTTAAAATATGAAGTCTCTAAATGCAAAAATCCAGTTTCATTATATGTATAAACCAAAAAGTTCTGGGATAAGAATGAGCTAAGAAAAACAAAAATTAAAAAAAATGTTTGAGTCATGAATTTAATATGAATATAAACATCAAAATAAAAATAAATGTGAAATATATAGGATTCATATAATAATACAATTTAATTAGAGCAGACTGGGCCTCTGTACCAATATTAACCTGTGGGCCTATATATGTCTTTATCAACAAACATTTCCTAGGAACCTATTGATAGATCCTCTTCTAAGCATTGGGATACAGCAGTAAACAAAAGACAAAAACACTGGTCTTCATGACAAAAAAAAAAAAAAGGGAGAGAATGTGATCAGGCAGGAGTCTAGAACAAAGCCATACACTAGAGATTTAAGGTATATTTTGGTCTGTTAGAAGAAACTGTATCCCTAAATTTTAAGAAGAGAACAACATATATATACCAAAAATAGGGTGAACTTATCTGAAGGGATAGAATATCCCTTCATCCCATATGTCAGAGAGACAAATACTGCTAGCATGTTAGATGTTAAATGTTATAAATAAGCCTGGGTGAGGGAAGTTGGTTGCAAAGTGTAGATAGGATGGCATAAAAAAGCTCACTGAATAGACTGAGCCTGAAAACAAGCCACATGGATTTGCACAGATATGTTATTTGAGACAAAGTTAAGAGAAAATGAAAAGACGCTGAGGCCAAAATATGCCTTCTGTATATAAAGAACAGCTAGGGGGTGATATGCCTGGAATGCAAGGTTGATTGAAGATGAGAGATAGTAGTAAGAGATGGCATCACAGAGATGAGAAGCCATTAGAAGATTTTGAACAGATATATGATAGGACCAGACCAATATTTTATATTATTTTTTTAATTTTTATTTACTTAAGTAATCTTCATACCCTATATGGGATTCAAACTCATAACACTGAGCTCAAGAGTCACATGCTCTTCTGACTGAGCCAGCCAGGCATCCCTCAGACCAACATTTTAATAGAATCAGACTGAATGCTGTGTTGAGAATTATCTGTAGGGCAAATAAGCAGAGAGAGCAATTAGGCTATTACAGTCATCCAGGCAAGACATGATAGTGACTTGAACTAAGACAGTAGCAGTGGTGGAGGTGCAATTACAAATATATTTTGAAGGAGAGGGAGGAGCAAGATGGCGGAGGAGTAGGAGACCTGAATTTCATCTGGTCCCAGAAATTCAGCTAGATAGGGATCAAACCATTCTGAACACCTACGAACTCAACAGGAAATCGAAGAAAAGAATAGCAGCAACACTCTGAACAGAAAAGCGACCACTTTCTGGAAGGTAGCACATGCGGAGAAGTGAATCTGAGGTGATATTGAGCAAGATAGATGGCAGGGGGGCGCCTCCGTCAGCCGCTACTGGCAAGTGATAGAGAGTGGAGCACAAAATCGGAACTTTTGGAAGTCTGAGAACAGCAGAACTCCAGCATTAGGGGAATATTCCACAAGGAATTCATGGTTTCTGTTTCTTTTTAATTTTCCTTTTTCCTTTTTCAACCAACATCTTATCAATCCCTTTTTAAAAATCTTTTTTATTTTTCATTTTTAGAGTCATATTCTATCCCTTCAGATCAGTTAACCCTATTTTTGGTATATATATGTTGTTCTCTTCTTAAAATTTAGGGATACAGTTTCTTCTAACAGACCAAAATGTACCTTAAACCTCTAGTGTATGGCTTTGTTCTAGACTCCTGCCTGATCACATTCTCTCCCTTTTTTTTTTCAATTCTCTCCTTTCTTTTTTCAACCGACTTCTTATTTTATCAATTCCATTTATAAAATCTTTTATAATTTTCATCTTTACGGTCATATTCCATCCCTTCATGGTATTTACCCTTATTTTTGTACATATATGTTTTTCTTTTTTAAAACGTTGGGAGGCACTTTCTTCTAACAGACCAAAATACACCCAAATCTACTGTGTGGCACTGATCTATGCACCAGCCTGATCATATTTGATCATGTTCTGTTTTTGTTTGTTTGTTTGTTTGTTAGTTGTTATCTTTTCTTTTTCTTTTTTTCTTTTTTCTTTATTTCCCTTTCTTTTCCCCCAGTTTCAGATCTCTTCTGATTTCTTTAGTGTATATTTTTCTGGGGTCGTTGTTACCCTGCTAGCATTTCATTCTGTCATTCATCTATTCTCCTCTGGACAAAATGACAAGATGGAAAAAATCACTTCAAAAAAAAAGAACAAGATGCAGTACCGACTACCAGGGACCTAATCAATATGGACATTAGTAAGATTTTGGAACTAGAGTTTAGAATGACGATTTTAAAGATACTAGCTGGGTTTGAAAAAAGCATGGAAGATATAAGAGAAACCCTTTCTGGAGAAATAAAAGAACTAAACTCTAACCAAGTCAAAATCAAAAAGGCTATTAATGAGGTGCAATCAAAAATGGAGGCTCTAACTGCTAAGATAAGTGAGACAGAAGAGAGAATTAGTGATATAGAAGACAAAATGATGGAAAATAAAGAAGCTGAGAAAAAGAGATAAACAACTACTGGATCATGAGGGCAGAATTCGAGAGATAAATGATGCCATAAGACAAAACAATATTAGAATAATTGGGATCACAGAAGAAGAAGAAAGAGAGGGAGTGACAGAAGGTATACTGGAGTAAATTATAGCAGAGAACTTCCCTAATTTGGGAAGGAACAGGCATCAAAATCCAGGAGGCACAGAGAACCCCCCTCAAAACCAATAAAAATGCGTCAACACCTTGACATCTAATAGTAAAACTTATGACTCTCAGAGACAAAGAGAAAATCCCAAAAGCAGCTCAGGATAAGAGATCTGTAACCTACAATGGTAGAAATATTAGATTGGCAACAGACCTATCCACAGAGACATGGCAGGCCAGAAAGGACTGGCATGATATCTTCAGAGCACTAAACGAGAAAAATATGCAGCCAAGAATACTATATCCAGCTAGGCTATCCTTGAAAATAGAAAGAGAGATAAAAAGCTTCCAGGACAAACAAAAACTAAAGGAATTTGTAAACACAATACCAGTCCTACAAGAAATATTAAAAGGGGTCCTCTAAGTAAAGAGAGAGCCTAAAAGCAACATAGACCAGAAAAGAACACAGACAATATATAGTAAGATTCACCTTACAGGCAATACAATGCACTAAATTCATATCTTTCAATAGTTACCCTGAATGTAATGGGCTAAATGCCCCAATTTAAAGACACAGCCTATCAGAGTGGAAAAAAAAACAAGACCTATCGATATGCTGTCTGCAAGAGACTCATTTTAAACCCAGAGACACCACCAGATTGAAAGTGAGGGGGTGGAAAACAATTTACCATGCTAATGGACACCAAAACAAAGCTGGAGTGGCAATCCTTATATCAGACAAATTAGATTTTAAGCCAAAGACTGTAATAAGAGATGAGGAAGGACACTATATCCTACTTAAAGGGTCTATCCAACAAGAAGATCTAACAATTGTAAATATCTATGCCCCTAACATGAGAGCAGCCAATTATATAAGCCAGTTAATAACAAAAGCAAAAAAACACATCGGCAATACAATAATAGTGGGGGACTTTAACACCCCCCTCACTGAAATGAACAGATCGTCTAAGCAAAGATTAACAAGGAAATAAAGACTTTAAATGACACACTGGACAAAATGGACTTCACAGATTTATTCAGAACATTCCATCCGAAAGCAACAAAATACACATTCTCCAGAATAGATCAAATCCTAGGTCACAAATCAGGTCTCAACCAGTACCAAAAGACTGGGATCATTCCATACATATGTTCAGACCACAATGCTTTGAAACTAGAACTCATTCACAAGAAAAAAGTCGGAAAGAACTCCAATACATGCAGGCTAAAGAGCATCCTACTAAAGAACGGATGGGTGAACCCGGAAATTAAAAAGAATTAAAAACATTCATGGAAACAAATGAAAAGGAAGACACAACTGTTCAAAATCTTTGGGATGCAGCAAAGGCAGTACTAATAGGAAAGTATATAGCAATACAAGCCTTTCTCAAGAAACAAGAAAGGTCTCAGATACACAACCTAACCCTACACCTAAAGGAGCTGGAGAAAGAAC